TTGCTCCTCTTCCAGTCCAGCTCTCTGCTGTGGCCTGGGAAGGCAGTGGAGGATGGCCCAAGTGCTTGGGCCCTGCACCCGCATGGGAGACCAGGAGGAAGCACCTGCCTCTTGGCTTCAGATCGGCACAGTGCCAGCCATAGCGGACATTTGTGGGGTGAACCAATGGAAGGAAGACCTTTCTCTGTGTGTGTGTCTCTCTCTCTCACTGTCTAACTCTGCCTGAAAAAAAAAAAAAAGTGAATGACTGAAAACTTCTCAGATTAAGAGAAATTTCTATTCAACATAGGACTAAAATTCCTAGCCCACATAATTACTAAGAAAATGAAATACAATGCATCCAAATAAGAAAAGAATGACTAAAATTATCTTTGTTCACAGAAGAAATGATCATATATATTTGAAATACTGAAAAACAAACAATATAAGAGGAAACAGAATCAGCATTCAAAAATTTATTATGATCCTATACACTAAAAATGACCAATTCAAAAATGTAAAAAAGTTAATTATATGATGTCATCTAAGAAGATATTATTAAAAATTAACATAGTTAAGAATATGAAAGGCCTGTACCCTAAAAAATAATATAATGGAAAAATTTTAAAACACATACATTAATGAAAATATTTGCCTAATTCATGAGTTGTGAAGCTTAATATAGATAAAATAACCATGCTACCATAGTGATCCACACATTAAATGAAATCCATTTCAAATCCCCAATAATATTTTTTACAGAAATAGAAAAAAAGTTCTGAAATTCATATGGAAACTCCAGGAACTCCAGCAAGCCATAATAACCCTGAAAAAGTACAAAGCTGAATGCCACATACTTCCTGTTTTAAATTTTGCTATATAGTTACAGTAAAAAAAAGCATATTACTGGCTTAGCAAAAAATATATAGACCAATGATCTATAACACAGGGTTAAGAACTATACTCTTACACATACAGTAAATAGTGTTTTGGCAAGGATTCCCAGAAAAAATGGTATCAGGACATTGGACACACAGATGTAAAGACTAAAGTTACATCCCTACCTAACACCATAAAAAGAAATTAACTAAAATGCATTGAAAAATCTACAAGTGCACACTAAAGCCATTAACTCTTAGAATAAAATAGGGGAAATGAGTCTTGATATTGGATTTTGCAATGGTTTATTAGACATGACACAAAGGTACAGACAACAAAAGAAAAAATAGACAATTGCATTAGAAGTAAAAAGTTCTGTGTATAAAGGACACTATCAACAGAGTAATAAGGCAAACTACAGGTTGGGAGAAGATATTTTGAAGTCGCAAAGCTGATAAGAGATTGCTATCCAAGTTTATAAAAAACTCCACATCAAAAAATAAAGAACCCAATTCAGACATGGGCAAAAAAATGAATATACCTTTTTTCCAGAGGGTATATGCAAATGATAAATAAGCATATTAAACAATGCTCAACATTACAAATCTATTGGGAGATGAAAATTCAACCTTGTATCAATTTTAATAGATATTATCAAGGACACATAAGGCAATGGGTTTGACAGGGATGTGGAAGAATTTGAAACCTTGAGTATTGCAGTTGAAATATAGGATGTTACAGCCACTATGACAGAAGTATGGTGGTTCCTCAAACATTAAACAAGACTTTCTTTAGCAATTCTACTTTTGTGTGTATATGAAAAAATAATTGAATGTAGTGATTCAAATGTTTCTATATTCATGCTAATGGTAATGTTTTTTCATAGAGAACAAATGTGGTGATAACTCAAAAGTCCACTGTTGGATGAGTGGATAATATGTAATACAAATATCTAGGAATATTACTCAGCCTTCAAAAGTCATGAAATTTGGATACATGCTTCAACATGGCAAATTCTTGGAGCTATTACACTAATAAGCCAGACACTGAAGTTAAATATTATGTGATTCCACTTACAGGAGTTACCTATTATAGTCAATACAAATAGACAGAAAGTAGACCAGTAGTTACTAGGAGCTAAGGGAGGAGGAGCAAGCATAATTATCATTTATTAGATACAGAGTTTCAGTATGGGACAATAAAAATTCACAAAGTGGAAATGGTGATAATTATACAACAATGCAAATGTACTTGGTACCGCTGAACTGTGCATTTACAATTGACTTATGATAAATTTATTTTTATAATATATTTTACTACAAGTCAAAAAAAAGTCTCACTGGGTTATAAAACTGTGGATCTATTTCGGAACTATCCATCTGTAATGTTCTCTTGATTCATATGTTCATATTTGTGACAACATCACACTGTTTATTATTATAATTTTATAGGTTTTTTCTGAAGTTAGGAAGTATGAACATTTGAACTTTATTCTCCTTATTAAATATTGTTTTGACTATTGCAAGTTCTTTTTACTTTCCTATAGATTTTATATATATATATATATATATATATACACACACACAAAACCATATTGGTGCTTTTACTAGTTTGCAGTATTTTGAGAAATGCAACAACTCATCATTATTTATTCTACAATTCATGATCTTGTTATTTTTCTCCGTTCGTTTATTTCTTTTTAATTTTTCTCATCATAATTTTGTAGTTTTTATGGTAGAGGCCTTAATTATCTTTTGTTAAGTTTATTTCTACAGTATTTTATGTGTTTTGAATTACATGTTTATTTCATTTCCCTTACTTGTTGCTAGTTACAGAAATACAATTAACTTTGGATATTATTCTTATTTCCAGAAACCTGGTTGAATTAGCATTCTCTTCTAGTTTTGTGATTTCTTAAGATTTTCTGTTTATAATATCATAACATCTATAAACAATCTTGCCTCTTCCATTATAATTGTGGACTACTTATGACTGCTATAACAGAACAGCAAAGGGGCAAGCATTTGATCTAACAATTAAACCTCCAACTGGGATGCCCACATCCTGAATCAGAATGTCTGGGTCCAAAATCCACTGTGTTCCCAATTCCAGTTTCTTGCTAACACACCCCTTGAGAGGCAGCAAGTGATGGTTTAAGTAGTAAGGTCCCCGACAGTCATGTAAGAGACGCGGATTGAGTTCCTGCTTTGGCAGGACCAGCCCTGGCTGCTTGGAGAGTGACATAACAGGTGTGAGCTCTCTGTCTCTCTGATCCTCTGTCTTCCTGTCTCTCTCTCTCTTAAATAAGTTAATAAACTTTTTTTGAAAGAACAATATCTAGCAGAAGTGAATCAAGTGATGATTTTTGACTTCTCACTCTCAAATAAATATTCAATGCTGGCTATAATGTTAGTGAGGAGCACTCATATTTGTTATCAGATAAACATTATTCATATTTTGAGGAAAATATTTTTTATGAGTTAGTGCGAAACTTTGTCAGATGCTTTTAAAATGTGTTGCTATGGAGGGTGCTTCTTCTTAACTCTGTCTGAATCCTTCCAAATGTTCTGAGCTTTATGTGTATGCACAACTATCCTTGAAAGTAAGATCAAGTCTGTGAGGACAACTCATAAAGTCCATGGAAAAACAGAATTAAATATGTTCATTTTTGATGTAAATATATGCATCATTTTATCATAACAGGCATTTTCATGAGCATTTTGAGGATCTCGTTGATACATGAAATTCAAAAAATTTTCCATCAAAATAAAATTAGATTTTAATTCTATTTTCCATGAACTTTTTAAAACAGCCTGTATTTGTATTAGATATTTTGACAGCAAAATTTAAAATCAATAGCTTTATTTTGGCATTGCAATGTTGTATTTTTTCAATTATAATTTTTGATTAAGGATATATAGTAATTATATGTGCATAATATATTTATTACACAGAGTTATGAATCATACCTCATCACTGAAAAAAAAGAAAGAAATCGACTGCTACACTGCTATTCTGTTATTAACCAAAGGGAAGAAAGGGCAACTGCATGGGAACAGTTTAATCAGCTTTGACATCCAGGCTCATGATTCAAGATGATTTAAATGGTCTGTGACAAAAGAATAGTTAACAGTCTGCAAAATGTCCATTATCTTTAGTTGGAAAAGGCCTATTGATTTAGGACCTTGTGCAACTCCCATGGGGTGTTAGCCAGAAGTGATGTGAAAATTCAAGTTCAGCACTATATACTACCAAGAAAACCCTCCCAGGTAAGTCTGTTAATAAGGCACAAATTGGATTGCCATGCTAAAAAGCTACAGCTGTCTGGGGAAGTCAGGAAGAAGACTGTTGGGTACTTTCTGTAATTTCCTTCTAAGATTACATATGGCAACAATGTTGATGATATCTTTTGAGATACTACAGAATGAATGATAAAGTCAATAAATTATCATGTTCTTTGATAAAATTCCTTTTGTTGAATTATATCAAATCTCACCTACAGATGTCTTATACAGCTGCACTCAGGTGCTAGGATGCAGACCAAGCAGATTTGTGTGATAATGTATGACTTTTTGAGGCTGAACTTTCAGGAGCATAAATTCTTAGTGGGTGTGAGAGCACTGGAGAGAACATGCTACGATTCAGGCATGATTCTATCAAAGAGGTCGACTTTTCCCTCAGGCAAAAGCCCAGGGGAAAAGCATTCATGCAGAGTGCAGTGACCATGACCTATAAGCTCCTGCTCCTGTGACCCTGAGACAGGCGCCACCACAGCACCACCTCCAATAGTTCAGAGTCATGCAAGATGAAGACAGGGCAGGAAGCACTGCCATGCAGGACTCTCAGGAAATCTGTATGTGCAAAGGTAGGATGCACTTTCTCATAATCATCCTATCGCGTTATGGCTGCAAGGGGTCAACAGATACCAAGCGGGAGATGGACCCTAGGGGATGTGTGTGGACCCAGGCCAGGTCCTCATGCAGAGGCATTCCACTCATAGTGATGTGAACAAAAATGACAGGCAGGACCATTGACTATGTTCTGAAATAAAAGAAAAATATATTGAGAATTTCCTGTGGATAAACCTGCTTATGAACAAAAGGTTAAAACCAAACACTTCGACAGAAGGAAAAGCTACTTACACCGGAATAGAAAGGCTCACCAGACACACATATCACATCCTGCTCCTGGATCATCAAAATATCTTTGGCTAGGTGCAGCCGGACTTTGAAAGGCTCTTGATTACCATCCTGCAGCAAACAAATCCCTGTCTTTGTCTTCAGATAGAGAGAGAGAGAGAAGAGGAAGAAAGAAAGCAAAACAGAGAAAAGAAAGCGTACTTAGTTCATATGTTATAATGTTACCATCTATTTACAACAAAATATGGTGCACAATATTTTGGAGCAGGGGAAACTGCATTCTGATGAGTCTGAAATTTAATACACAATGGAGTAATGCAGAGAAAAAAGAACCATTTCCAGTATAGTGACTCTCAAATAACAGACGCTGTGTCAGAAAACTCACAGAAAGATTTATAGCATTGGGATGTGACATATGTCGTATATTCAAAAAATAATGAAAGCCTTGTTAAAATTTAAAACTAAATGAAACTGCAACAGTTTTGTTGAGATATAATTCACATTCCATGCAATTCAACCCTTTAAATTGTGCTTTTTGTGTTTTTTAGTATATATGAAAAACTGCAATCCTTACTACCATCAATTTTAGAGTATTTCCATCTCTGCAAAAGGAAATACATTCTCCCCATTTCTCCACACCACCTCTCCCCAGCAGAGGCAACCACCAAGTCTAATTTTTGTCTCTGTTATTAATGTTAGTAATGAAAGGTTAATATCTACACTAATTGCCACTATTTCATTATTCCTAGTCACCAACTCTCATGAATGCATACATGCATACATGTATGCACATTAAATAAATGCACATGAATACACACACCATGCATATGACAACACATACACATGAACTCACAAGATTACAGTCATGCACATACACAGGAACACACATCACATGCATGCAAATGTGTGCACATACCCACAAGCATACATATGCATACAAACACGTGAACACACATGCATGCACACATACACATGAATGCACACCCATGCTTTGTATCAATGAGGGAATGATGAGGAGGTAAGCAAACTACCTAAGTTAGCACACTTATTACTTATATCAATATTTTTTTCTTATATCCTTGGGAATTATGAAAACAGGCTATGAAGATTCCTGAGTTTGTATTAAGTCATTTTTTACAGGCCCATGAATCTTGCCATTGTTAGAGCATGTTGGAACTATAATATTACCGGGATAATATAAATTTTCTCCTGTATAAGCACACCTAACATTCCCACTTGCCACCAATACAAACAAAATTCCTTTGAGATAGAACATAATCTCTGGCTCTTATTACCACAAAAACTCAAAGGAACAATCACTACTTTGGAGATGACATTTACATGCAATAATTATGGAGCCATTCTTCACTGAATGAACAAATACAAAGCTATGTCATTTTATCCTCAGTATTAAGTAATACAGTATCTCAAGAAAATAATGCTTGAAATATACATTTCCATGGGGATGGATATAAGCTTGTTTCTTTATATGAATCTATGTTGATGGGAATATATTTAGATACTGGAGCTTTGGAGATCATTCTTTCTGTAACCTGCTTTATCTTGTGAGCTACACTGTACCATATTGCCTTCCACTATACACACACTCTCATATTAGTCTGTAATTATTATCTAAGAGTTATGATGTCCTTTTAGGCAAAAACAGAAACGTGTTCAGCAGCAAGGGCAGCATTCCATCCTCATCTATGGCAGAGGCACACAGCAGGTGCTCAGTAAATCATACCGATTAATCTATTCTAGAGTATAAGTCAAATGGATATGTCCAGAGGACAAAATATTTCAGCACAAGTAAATTATACTTCTTTAATATGGAGCATCATTTCTCTACATTTTAGCATGGGAAATCTCCTGTTCACAATGTAGTCTTGGCTAGGGGCCAACACTGCGGACACCAATGGGCATTGTGAGGAGAGAAAGATAGGAAATTTGACATCAAAACCAAGAGATCTTAACTGAGCACGCTTGCTGATTTTTCAAGGTACAATATGTTTTGAACCAATTTTCCCCCAGAAGTCCGATGGCAGAGCTCATAGTCACAAATAATGCACTGTTTCAACTTCAGGATGAGAGAAAGCCCAGAAATACATGATAGTTACACATCAAAGTGCTATAAAAGAGCATCCAGGGAAAGTCGAGGAACTAACATGATGCTAGGAGGCTTTCTCATCACATTTCTGATATGGACAAACCTAGCATTCACTCAAGTATTGTGTAAAATGTTCCCTAGTTATTAGAGAATTGTCTTCAAAACATATTGCAGACTTTGAGCTCACTTGTCAGTCCTTGGAGGTCCAGAGTTATAAAACAGAAAGAATAACACAGCATTTTGGTCGAATGGAACACACACACACACACACACACACCAATAAATTGTTGCTTGGTAAAAAGAGCAAACAGAGCAAAGAACAAATAGACAGGAAAATACATTTTCTGGGGGTTATAGGTGTTACATATATTCTTTTTTTTTTTTTTTAATTTTTGACAGGCAGAGTGGACAGTGAGAGAGAGAGACAGAGAGAGAAAGGTCTTCCTTTGCCGTTGGTTCACCCTCCAATGGCCGCCGCTGCAGCCGGCGCACCGCGCTGATCCGATGGCAGGAGCCAGGATCCAGGTGCTTTTTCCTGGTCTCCCATGGGGTGCAGGGCCCAAGCACCTGGACCATCCTCCACTGCACTCCCTGGCCATAGCAGAGAGCTGGCCTGGAAGAGGGGCAACCGGGACAGAATCCGGCACCCTGACCGGGACTAGAACCCGGTGTGCCGGCGCCGCAAGGTGGAGGATTAGCCTATTGAGCCACGGCGCCGGCCTACATATATTCTACAATGAAAATTTACCTGGCACACATAAAAATACATTGAAAAACTCATACATTCATTGCCTGTACCAGTACTGTAGAACATTAACAGAGGATGAGACATTAAGGAGACAACACTCTCAACCTCAGAGTATGCCTACTCATTTTAAAAGTATATATATATATATATACACATATATATATATATATATATATATGAGGCAATATGGTAGCTGACATGGTAGCAGCAATGAGAAAATGCTTAGATATTCTTGGGGGCAAGGGGGTGTTACAGGATAAATGTGGAAGAAAAACATGCATGGCTGGTATTGAAAAAAAAGAAAAAGACAATGACTAGAGAAGACAAAAGCCACTTAATCAAGAGTAAGAAGTGAGAAGAGATGTGGTAGCATGAAAATGCACAACTCCTGGGGTGCAGGAAGAGGACAGAGCAGGAGGCACATCCTCAGTGCTGAACCTGGGAGGCACAGACGAGAGGGGAGGTATGACAGCAGAGGACGGGGAGGGGCTGCCTGTATAGTGTGTCTGGGGCTTGACAAGTCACTAAAGCAGAGGACCTGCAGAAATGAGATAAATGAAATGATGGGCATTCATGCATGCCTCCTAAATATGGCATAGTAGAAGATGCAAAGGAAATGGAAGAATTAAAATATTGTTGTTATTTGAGCAGAAATTATCAGGGCTGGAAGCCAGCTGTGTTAGTCAGAGCTGCTTCAGGTCATGAGGAAAGATGGCAGGTGCAGATGGCAGGAGCACTCACAAGGAGGGGCCTGGCTGGATGAGATCCTCACCATAGACATGTGGTCGCCTGTTTCACATGTTTTCTATTTAAAAACCAGTTGTGTTCACTCTGTGCCAAGAAAGATTCACTGCCCTATTCCTCAATAACCAAGGGCAAGCATTTCCAAGACAGCAGGGGGCAGAGGACTGGGATGTAGCCACAGCCAATGGAAATGGAACAGCTGGGCCTAGTTTCTGCTCTTGACCAGTGATCTAGGTTATCTCAGGTTCATGTTGGGAAGCCTCCAGCAATCGTTCATATGCATGTCACAGTGTGGCATCTTTCACCAGAGAGCATGTTGGTCAAGACTCTCTCCTACGTGTGAGAGTTTGCCCTAACCTCTAAGACTCTGTTTAAAAAACAGGTCCATATGTCTGCCTCAGGGTACCTGGGATGCACACAAGGCTCTGCTTCTGATTCTAGCTTCCTGCCAGTGCAGACACTGGGAGGCAGCAGGTAATGGGCCAGGTCATTACATCCCTGCACCCCTGTTGGAGACCTAGCTGAGTTCCCTGCTCCTGGACTTTGCTCTGCCACAGCCCTAATCATGGCAGGCAAAGGTGCTCCCACACCTCCCTGTATAACTTTGTGTGTGTCAGTTTCCCTGCCTATCTCTTTCTGCCTTTCAAATAAATATATGAAAATTTTAAGAACAAACTTTCCTAATTCTGAAGAAGAACCACAGCATCTTGACCTAGCTTCTTGGGAATTTGTAGATGAACTTTCTTTCTAGCATGCTACATGAACAGAAGACACTGCTAGTAGGGAAGAGGCTTGATCTACACTTCCCCATGCAGTGTTTCAGGGCTTAAAAATGGGAGGCAGGATTACAGGATGCCCCTTAAACAGCACCAAATTCAAAGTCTTCACAGATCTGTGTACCTCAATTACTTGAAAATTGATATCACCTATATGATTATTTGCCCCAAATTTTAGGATATATTTATGACATCTTTATTCACATAGCAAATATTTGTCTCCAAACTTTGTTGACTGTGTATGTACTGCCCATAAATGAAAAAAAAAATTGTGCTGTATGAATTAAAATATACTTTAAAGTCAAAATTTTAAAAGGATTATTCCAAACAAGTGATGTATATCAAATTTTGTTTTCCTGTGTCAGATGTATGATTCTATCTAGCACCTAGATTGTACAGAAGTCTTCACTGGAGTCTATTTGTTTGAAGGAATCATTAAATATTTGTATTTTTAATTACTTAAAAAGAAATACTTTTAAAATTCTAGTCATTGCTTATGTTTTCTGCCAATCAATAAAGATGTGGTTATTGATTTGCTTAAACAAATCTCACATTCAACTTATTAAAATTTTATAAATGTTTAAACGTGTTACCATATATGGAACTTTAAAAAGTAGACTATCACCAATTTTCTAGTTAAAAGTCAAGAGGTTTTAAATTTATGATCCAATCTTTCACAGAATCAAAATATGTTTTTGTGAATCTATGTCTGTGTTTTCATTTTGAAATGTAACATTCACAATATCAGACGTAAGAAGCAACACATTACCAGAAACCAGGCAGAGAACATAATGCGAACTGCAAGTACTCTTGCAGGTGTCCTCACTATTTTTATATTTTGGTCTCCAAATGCAATTAAATTTGTTTTGTAAACCATTGTTTTCGGTAAGCAGCAATTACACTGTGCTACGATGCAGCATGATCCACTAAATGCTGTTTCAGGCAGAGTGTTTTTAAGGATTACCTTAACTGAATTCTAACCACTTTTGACTTCCCAGCACAAGTCTTGTTGACACCACTTGTAGTGGTTTCAGCAATACTTAGTTCCATATCTCATTTTTAATATTCTTGTATCTTGTCATCACAAGAAGATTTCAACAGTGAATTATTAGTCTGTCTCATAATAAGAATTATTAACCACAATATAATGCTGGCATCCTCTTACAATGCTGGCATCCTCTATAAAAGCACCAGTTTGGGCCCCAGCTTCTCCTGATCCAGCTCTCTGCTACTTTGCCTGGGGAGGCAGCAGAAGATGGTCTAAGAACTTGGGCTCTTCCATTCATGTGGGAAACACAGATGGAGTTTCAGGTTCGTGGCTTTAGCCTGGCTCAACCCCGGCTGTTGTGGCCATTTGGACAGTGAACCAGAAAATGGAATATTCTCTCTCTACCTCCCTCCCTCTTTCTCTCTCCCTCTTTCTCTCTCTTTTTCTCTCTCTTTATCCTCTCTCTTTCACTCAGCCTTTCAAATAAATAAATAAACATTTCTGTAAAAATAGTGATTAGATCAAAGTCATAGATTGTGTCTTTCTATGAATAGCTAGATTAAATTATGTATTTATGGATTATAGTCTTTAATGTAAAATGTAGAGAAAATATGTTTTCACAGTCAGTACAAATATGTGGATTAATTTTAAGGAAGACAAATGTGTAAGTTAAATCTGAGGAAAAGCTAAATAAAAGAACTCATATTGACTTATTTAAACGCATGGATTTATTTTTATGACACTCAAAGAGCAGAGAAAATCAGTAATGATATCAGACTGTTGGGACACTTTTTCATCTAACAATATATTTTGTTATTTGCCCAAGTTGCATTTTCTGAAAGTCTTTACCTTCATAATTGTTTCTTGCTAGATTTTTAAATCCAAATTTCTTTTAAAGAATTCTGACATTGTGTTTTTAAGAGCAGAAAGTTTTTTAAACACTAAGTGGGAATTTCTTTTAAAAAGAATCTTTATTATATATTGAAGGTGCTTTCAAATGACAGTTGTTTGGACAGGCTTCTCTGTTCCTTTGCAAAAAGTCTTTCTGTCATCTCATGCTAATATTCTGCCTTGGTCTGCCTGATGGATATGGAAAAGAGACTTTGATCATTTTCCTTATTAGTAGTCAAGAGAGCCAAGTCTTATTTAATGTATCTTGGACTATTACATAATTTCCAACAAAGTAGTGTCTTAGAATGTGGTTGGAACTTAGAATTAGGAGTCCCAAGCTACACATATGCTTGATTTTGACTAATTAACTAAATGGCACTCAGAATTTCATAAAAAATTCTCAATTTCCTCAAGTGCAAAATGAAAGGCCCAATTAGCTTTCTGGTTCCTGTACACTTAAATGTTTCAAGGCTGTAAATTTCAGGCTAATTCTTTGACTTTGGTCATTTTTCAGAACACTTTGTTCATTTTCAGGGTATCTGTATTCTTTCAATCCAGCCAGGATGTGGACTATACATGGATGCTAGGATAGCACAGCTTATGGCAGTTCTATCCATCCTAGGGAAAGACTAAAATGATACTCTTTAAGGGCTTGTTGCAAGAGAACAACAACCAGCTCCTACAAGGTGAATGATCACTATGGTATTACGATTGTAAAACAGATCTTATGAACCTTAAATAGAATTTGATAGACATCTCAAAACAATACATTAAAAGATTTGTTTTAAATAAAATAAGTTTAGGGAATCTTCTATCATACTGTGAAGTCCAATACAAAGCATTTGTTAAACACAACAAGAATCTCATGTGTCCTATAGGCTTATTATTCGAGCAAATATCTATTCAGTTTCAATGAATTCCTTACTGCTAAATACATAAGACAACACTTTGATGGAAAAAAAGACTTGCTACATGCAAATTTGAGTGTGCAATTAAAAGTACAAGTGACACAGAATTAAATCTTAATGTTAGAATACAAAACTTCTAAAAGAATAATATATGAAAAGATATGAGTTTTCTAAAAATGTAATTAAAATATATTTATTTTGGTGCAAAAAATTAAATACATTAAAGAGTTTTTTTTCTTTAATATACTGAAGTGCCCAAGTAAGTGCTGAGTTAAAAAGATGATGAGTTACACACTCTGACTTTACAGTATTCAATATTGCACAAGAGCGATCTTGTAAATGAAAAAGCTGTAATATAATTTAAAAAGAGGTAGCATAGAGCTATGTTTAAGCCATTACAATAATTAAATTTTTGAAAATGAAAACATAAGAATAGAGATACGAAAGCAATTTTTTAGTCCTCCAAATGGCATTCTGAAATTTTCACCCACTGTGACAAACATGCTTAAACATATTTTTCAAATTGCTTTAGAAGAAAATAAAGAATTTGTTTCCATAAATCCATATAATAACTTTAAACAAATGATATTTTACTAAAAAGGCTATCTTCACAAATATCAAGACTGAAGCCTTTGATTTCTTTGGTTTGATTTTAATATTACCATGAGTAATTCAATTACAGGTTTTTTTTTGTTTGTTTGAGTTGCTTATGTACAATAAAAAATACTGTAAAATATTTAAGCAAATACAAACCATTTTCTAATGTATAAATATTTGTATTTTGCCTGAAGATAAATATTTGCATTTTTTCCATAGAGTGAAAAAAAAAAACAATGCTTTGAAGGTTTCATAATTAGTCAAAAAAAAAAAAACCACATAGTATTTCTTGTTGAGATAGAATGGTATCTTCCTTGGGGAGAGTGCACCACTGAAGTGTAATACTTCAACGATCTTTAATATCCTTGAGTGAAACTAATGCATCATTCTAACTCATTCTAAAGTGTGATGTCAGCACCACAGAAAATTTGAATTGCTACATATTGATACTTAACTGATATTAAATACTTAAATAATAGGAAATTATAATTGTAAAGTTTTAGTCCTAAAAGGGCCCTTAGATGTCATCTCATTTACAATCATTTATACAAAACAAAATTCCTTCCAATGCTTCCACTACCTGAAATCTCAGAGTGTGTGGTTGATGGAGAGGAGCAATCCAATTATATTAAATATGCTCCATTCTCCTTTTTTTTTTTTTTTAAAGATTTATTTATGGATTTGAAAGGCAGAGTTACAGAGAGAGCAAGAGAGACAGGCAGAGAGGTCTTCCATTTGCTGGTGGCCACAATGACTGAGGCTGTGCCACGCTGAAGCCAGGAGCCAGGAGCTTCATCCTAGTATCCTATGTGGGTACAGAGGCTCAAGCACTCAAACCATCTTCCATTGTTTTATCAGAAACATTAGCAGGGAGCTGGACTGGAAGTGGAGCAGCTAGGATTCAATCTTACTGTGTCACAGCACTAGCCCTTGCTCCAGTCTTCTTAACAAAAAAGAGAGAGATAAAATGTGAAACTTGACCATGCACACTTTGGTTTTCTAGCTTTGTAGGAAGAGAATACAAACTGGAAATGAAATCAGCCCATCTCCCACTCTCCATCAAAAGCAGCGCTCCACCACTAGGCAGTGAGGCCAAGATATTCTGATCATACTATTTTACCAATTTGAAAAGCATAAAGTCTGCACCTACCTCCTCACAGGCGGTTCTGAAATCCATGTGCTATGGCACCACAAAGAATGTCGTCTGAAAAGACAGAAATGGTGAGCCATTAAGCACAGTGTCAAAAGTAAGACAAGTGTGAAAAATGGTGAAGTGGATCCTGCGGGGAAACTGTGCTTGAAACCACCTATAAGGAACTCCAGGGTCTGCTGAAGAGAGAAAGAAGGAAAAAAAAAGTCAAATCTTCAGGTTTTGCGTGTCCAGGGTGATGGAAGATGTGCAAGTCTACACACCTCTCTATTTGAGAAAGCACACAGACATGATCTACAATGACCTATGATATGATTAATCTTTGCTCTCAGGTGTTCTCTCAATCCCAGAATTAATTTTGAACTCTGAGTCTACAACTGGGAAAGAAATTTCAAATGGAGTAATTAAAAGTTGCCTTTCATATGGTTCTCTCTTGAAAAAAGTTGACTAATCTTTCTCTTTTTAATTAAAAACTGCATGCATGAATGATTTGCTGTGAAACTTAAAATTTTATTCACAGACAGTATAATCTCAGGAAGCAAGCTATTTATCAGAGCAAATGATATTAGATAAATCAATAAATGAAATACCCAACACAGATTTCCACTTTGGGTTCATGATCACACTGAAAAGATGGACATAGACATAAATGCCTATAAGGGATTTGAAAATATTGTTTTAGAAAGCTTCATTTCTACTAGATGATAAACTTAACAAAATCAAGAGTTCCTACAAAAATCTGACACCTTGATACTAAAAAACAACACAATGTGGGGACAAAATGAAATGGGGAGACGAATGGGAGACTTCAAAGTATGCTTAATTTCCAAATGATGTACTCAGCAAAATTAATCTTCATTCCCAACGTTGAATTGCTAATCTGTAAAACCCCATATTAATTTAATCTTGCATGGTCATTTTTTTCCTTGTAGGACATTGATGAATGCTTGATCGGGTAAGTGTGCTACACTAGAGTTGGAGGTGTTACTCATGCTGTCCTTGTATTATCACTATTGGCTTTGAAAGAAAAGAGATTGACCATTTTCAACAGTAACAAAACATATGACAAAATATTTCCACTGGATAAGTCATGTGAGTGGTGGGCCATATATTATTTTATTGAAATACATGAAGTTGCTGATGACAGTAATGTATCAAGAAATTATTAGCAAAGAAAAGCTCAATTTGATTACCAATATCATAATTTGGATCCAGCATTGTGGTATAGCAGATTAAACCACCACCTGTAACACCAGCTCTGCCTCCAATCCAGCTCCGTGCTTATGTACCTGGAAAAGCAGCAAGAGATGGTCCAAGTTCTTGGGCTCCTGCTCTCAAGTGGGACACACAGATGGAGTTCCTGGCTCCTAGCCCAACCCTGGTGCTGCAGGCGCTTGTAGAGTGAAACAGAGAATGCCTTTCTCTGTCTCTCTCTTCCCATTCCAATTAATAAATAAAAACTTTCATATTAGAACATTTTTAGATTTACAGAAAAAGTGAGAAAATGGTACAGACTCTTCCTATGTTGCCCCTCCATCATTGTCCAGTATTTTCTTATTTTAATATGCTATATTTGTTACAACTAATAAGGTACTACTGATACATCATTCATTTCTAAAGTCTACACTTTATTGATATTTCCTTAATTTTTTCCTAACGTCCTTTTTTGGTTTCTGAGATCCCCCGTAGGGCATCACATCATATTTAGTCAACTGTTGTCCTCAGGGACCTCTTGACTGTGATGGTTTCTAAGACTTTCCTTGTTTTTAAGGAATTTGTCAGTTCTTGAGGAGAACAGATCAGAAACTTTTTAAATGCTTCTCCATTGGAATTATTCTGATTTTTTTTCAGGATTAAATTGGGATTAACAGAGATGAAGCACCATTTTCACTTCAAGCAAGCAAAGCTGCATGCTTTCAACATGTCTTCGCCCTACTGATGTTTGCTAACCTGCAAGAGGCAGAACGAGTTAGGTCTCTCCCTTATAATGTTTCCCTCTCTTCCCCCACTACATCCTGTACTCTGGAGAAATATCACTCTAAGCATTCCTTACCTACAGTTGGAAGCAGGGTTTCCCATCCCTTAGGGTGCAGTATCCACACAAATCATTTGTAATTATTCTACATGGGAGATTCATCTCTTCTCTCCCATTTAGTATGATGCAGTCATTTCCTAACTGGCAGATCAAGGAGATGCAAGTATGTTTGCTAACTCATGTGAGTAAGCACATCTTCATAAACATTTCCATGCAGAGCCATCTCTATATTGAGCTAAACATGATCTTAGTGGTGTTCTACTTCTAATACTCAATAGCATGCACCATTCCACTGCCCACTTGCTTCTCTGTCAATTCCCACTCCAACAGTGAGAAACTTAGCTCCCATTGGTCTGCCATTCAGACACTTACTTGTATATTATGCACAAATAGTCACGACAGTATCATTAACCTATAGCATGTGGGAAACAGCTTTGTCAACACAAGTATACCTGACTTTGCCTTCAGTCTTCCAGCCTGCACTCATAACCAGAACCGCTTGTGCCCACTTCAGTGGTGAGTGAGTAGGAGAACCATGAGCTGGTTTCCTTAAAGGTTTTGTATGTTTCCACGTGATCTCTTACACTTCTGCCATTGCATGGGAAGAGCCTGCAGAAAAGCTGCCGCTCCAGCAGCCTGGCCTCAGATGACCCAAACCACACAGGGTGAAACAGAGGTAGCTTAAAGCCCTGTGTGGAGCAGAGCTGCCTGTCCGACTGTAGACCTCTAAGTAAAATAAATGCTTAATATTTCCACTGATAATCTTTTGTGCCAAGCTGACCAGGTGAAGAATGAAGCTATTCAATACAACGCTAATCCCGGTGATATTATGAAGGTACTGCGTAGAGGTGGGTAACATCTACAATCAGCTTACTTTAACTAAAGAAGCTTATGCTCAGTGATATGGACAGGCCTCCTTTAATTAGCTGGAAAGCCTTAGAAACAAGCACTGAGGTGTCTCTCAGAAAGAAATTACGTCTCAGGACTTCAGAATCTATGCCTGTGCAAGTTTCTGTGTGCTAATGGACATATAAAGAGTTCAGGCTTGATGGACCCTCACATTCTGTCTCTCCCTCTCTCTGTGTGGCTCTGTCATTCAAATAAATAAATAAATACATCTTTTAAAAAAACTATGATTTAACTACTAATACAATTGCCAAATATTTTCATCTTTATATTTAGGGAAAAGAAAAAATGTTTATTGATTTCTGTGTGTCAGTGTAAGTTTTACTTATGGGGAAAAAAACAACAAAGCCTTTTGGAAATGACTTTTTAAACTTGGGTATTAGAAAACTTCATCACTTAAAATATGGAGATAAGACTAACAATGCGTAAGTAGCCTGGACAAATCAGGTGATAAAATTACCTGTAATGTTTATGGAATCACAATATCCTAATGCAACCTACTTCATCCCTGATCTGTTTAGATTCCTCATGACCATTTCAGAGATAAGCCACAGTGTGGAAGAACTGTACCCTCAGGAAGTCTGTTTCTAGTATTGTTAGATCTGTGACTCAATGGACAATGGAGACATCCTGCTTCCTACCTTGGGAAAATGAACACAGGACTGAGCATTTCCTGATTATTCAGGGTGCTCTGGGTACATGTCCTGGGTCAACAGAATTGATCTCGGTCCAAAGGTCTTGCCTCTTAGGACTAGATCTAATTCAGAAACTGATGGGACCAGTCACCATCCATTAGTCTCAGAGCAGCATCAGTTGCGATTGATTAAACTTCATCTTTGTAAACAAAAAGCAGAAAGTAAAATTAGAAAAACTCAGTCAAGTTTGTGCATGCTACATAAAAAAAAATCCTACTTACTAATTCCTTTCAAATGCTCCATTTCTCAGGTGACTGATTAAAATAAAAATTGTATACCTCTGCAACTACACACAAACACACACAGAGAGAAAACACTGAAGTAGGAACTAAATGGTTATATAGAGTAAAATAGAAAGCACTGATGCAAAAACGTGTGGCATTTAAATGGTTTAGGTAATTTCCAGAATGCTTTGCTTGGTTAGTGTAAAGAAGTCTCTAAAATACTCTGCTTGCTCTGACAGTTCAGTTTACTGAAGGAAAAGATGTTATCTATTTATAGAGTTTGCCCTAGGCAAAATAATGAAATATGCAAAACTGAACTTCTATCTCTGTGTATCCCCAACCCAAACCCAGCAGGCACCCTCTCCACATGCATTCCCATCTTCAGGTTGTGGCTTGACTGTGTGCGACGACAAGATTAATTGGGCCTTCTCTCCCAAGGCTTGTTAAATACTAGGATTAAAAATAATAGTTACAGTCATGTGGGTTTCATCTTTTGTGAACATTTTGTTCATTTAGCAATTTGTACCTTAGAAGCCACTCTGAGCCGGCGCCGTGGCTCAATAGGCTAATCCTCCTTTTGCGGTGCCGGCACACCGGGTTCTAGTCCCGGTCGGGGTGCCGGATTCTGTCCCGGTTGCCCCTCTTCCAGGCCAGCTCTCTGCTATGGCCAGGGAGTGCAGTGGAGGATGGCCCAGGTGCTTGGGCCCTGCACCCCATGGGAGACCAGGAAAAGCACCTGGCTCCTGGCTCCTGCCAGGATCAGCGCGGTGCGCCGGCTGCAGCGGCGGCCATTAGAGGGTGAACCAGCGGCAAAGGAAGACCTTTCTCTCTGTCTCTCTCTCTCACTGTCCACTCTGCCTGTCAAAAAAAAAAAAAAAAAAAAAGAAGCCACTCTGTATGCGTCTTTAATCTTTCTATATTTGTTAGGATACTGGCTGATTACCATGTTGCTTTTTAAAAAAAGACTTATTTATTTGAAAATCAGATTTACAGAGAAAGGAAAGATAGAGAGAGAGAGAGAGAGAGAGAGAGAGAGAGATCTTCCATCAGCTGGCCCCAAAGGCCAGGGCAGGGCCAGGCCTACTCCAGGAGCTAGGAGCATCATCTGGGTCACCCACTTGGGTAGCAGGGGACCAAGCACCTGGGCCATCTTTTGTTGTTTTCCCAGGCCATTAGCATAGAGCTAGAATGGAAGTAGAGCTTCGGGGATAAAAAGCAACCATAGGAAATACTGGTGCTGCAAGTGGTACAGGTTTATCAACTGCACCACAAAGCCAGCCTTGTGGCAGATTATTTTTTAAAAACATATGTGTACAACAAGGATAGGAATCTGTTTTTCCCTCTTGATAGGGCCCAAACCTAAAATGGGAGGTGATTTCAAAGTGTCTGCAACCCACTCTCCTTCCACTGCATTTGTCTGCCATTCTCAGTGTGTGGGGGCTGAGAGTCATGTTCTCATTCTGTATCCAAATTCCTGCCAAGGCAAAAAATGGGAGTTGCACATGTTCATTCATTCTTCCTGTTCCATTGCTGTCTTCTCATTACCAGATCACAAATAGCTACAGAGAGGCTGGGAAATGCAGCATTTATGGGGGTAGCTCTGTGACCAGCTAGAATATGTATTTGCAGGGAAAAGGGGATGGCCACAGATCCTGGCCATGAGAACTGACCTTAAGAAGGTCTTTGCTCAAAAGCGTTCTTCCAGGGCCAGGATTGTGGCACAGTGGGTAAAGCCACAGCCTGTGACGCTGGCATCCCAAATGGGTGGGAGTTTGTGTCCAGCTGCTGTACTTCTGATCCAGCTTCCTACTGATGGCTTAGGAAAAGCTAAGGAACATGGCTCAAGTACCTGGGCCCTTGAACCTATATGAAAGACCTGAATGAAGTTCCTGGCTCTTGGTTTTAGCCTGGCTCAGTCCTGGCCATTGTGGCCATCTCAGGGAATGAACCAGTAGATGGAAAGTCCCTCCCCCCACCACCTATTACTCTTTCAAATAAATAAATACATCTTTAAAAAAAGGTGTTCTTACCACATTTAACTTTCACATGTATCCCTTTAGAAAATGCTTCCCAATTTAAAAAAATACTTTTTTTATAACTTTATTTTTTTTTTTTTTGACAGGCAGAGTAGACAGTGAGAGAGAGAGACAGAGAGAAAGGTCTTCCTTTGCCATTGGTTCACCCTCCAATGGCCGCTGCGGCCGGCACGCTGCAGCCGGTGCACCGCACTGATCCGAAGGCAGGAGCCAGGTGCTTCTCCTGGTCTCCCATGGGGTGCAGAGCCCAAGCACTTGGGCCATCCTCCACTGCCTTCCTGGGCCACAGCAGAGAGCTGGCCTGGAAGAGGGGCAACTGGGACAGAATCCGGCGCCCCGACCGGGACTAGAACCCGGTGTGCCGGCGCCACGAGGTGGAGGATTAGCCTATTGAGCCGCGGCACCGGCCAAAAAAATACGTTTTATTTATTTGAAATGTTAAATGATGGGGAAGAGAGAGAGGAAGAAAGACAGACACCTTCCATCAGGTGGTTCACTGTCCAAATATCTCCAATGATTGGGGATATGCCAGGAACCTGAAACTGCATCTGGGTCTCCCATGTGGGTGGCAGGGACCCACATACTTGAGCCATCACCTGCTACTTTTCCAAGTGCATTATCAGGGAGCTAGATTGGAAGCAGAACATTCAGGACTCATACTGAAACTCCAATTTGGACAGCATCGCAGTTCAAACCACTGTGCCACACACCAGTCCCCTAAATGCCTCTATTTAAGATAATTTTTTGTAGGTCCTAAGGTTATTGAGGAAATTTTATGGAATTTTTGCTATTTTTTTATCCTTTTCCTTAAAAAACTGTATCATATTGGGTTGCATATGCCCTCTTCTTATTGCAAAGTAGTCATGATTTTTTTGAAATTTTCAGTATGTCCCTGAGGATGTTACACAAAATCAAATTTAAAAATGAAATAACTACACTGTCGATGGTGTTTGTTACTTTATGGAAACTCTGAATGTCTAAGTTGATTTTACAACCTATAAATGTTAATTCCTAAAGGCATATTGCTTTTATACAAAAATTATTTAGCCAGATCTTCGACATTTGAGTGGACATTTATTTTTTATTATATAGTCTTGACTTTGTACTATATAAAAAGTAGTTTGGGGGTGGTCATTTTGTGTAGCAATTAAGACACTGGTTAAGTTACCTGTGTCCCTTATTGCAGTACCTGACTCCCTTGTGACAACAGCTTCTTGGTAACATAGCCCCTTCAGGCATTACTAATGACTCCAGTTACTGGAGTTTTGCCACCCGTGCGGGAAATCTAGGTTGAGTTACAGGCTCCAGGTTTTAGCCATAGCTAGAGGCCATTGTCGGCATTTGGAGAGTGAAACAGTAAACAGGCTCTCTCTGCTTTCCTTTCTCCCTTTCTCTGTCTTTAAAAAGACTGAAGCATTTGTTCAAAGAAAAAAATAAATATTTGAAAAAAGAAGTTTTTGCATCAATGATGTTTCACTTAAAGGAAATGAATAAATTCTGCAAATTCATGACTGAGGTGCCAGGTAAATACTGTTGTCCTACTGAATTAGAAGTAAATCAAATAAGATGTTGAGATAGACAAATGTGCATGAAGGAATCCTGTAAAAAGACAAATGATGTCCCATTATGCAAAAGTTATCATTTCATCCAGATTTAGAAAATGAAATTATGTAGATTTGTTAAACTTTACCATGTACACAGAAATATGACAACAAAAGTTATGGAAGTGAATATAAATATTAGCTTTGCCATTTGTGGTACAGTGAACTGCCACTTGGAATGCTCACTTTTCATATTGGAGTACCGATTCAATTCTTGGTTACTCTGCTTCCAACCCAGCTTCCTGCTAATCAGAAGCTGCAAATGAAGTACTTGGGTCCCCGCCACACATGTGGAAGACCTGGCTGTATGGGATTCCTGCCTTCTAGCTTTTGCAAGGCCCAGCCCCAGCTGTTGCAGCCTTTTGGGTGTGAACTGGTAGATGGACGATCCCTGTACATGTACATCTTTCTAGCTCTGTCTGGTTCTAGCACTGTTATTCTGCCTTTCAAGCAGATGAAAATGCATAAATATTAAAATAATTTATGATGCCAACACATTTAATGTTTTTCTCTCCACATCCAAGTTTTTACTGAAGAAAATATAGGCTTCTTAGTACACACTTTTACTACTTCCAAGAATTTAGCCAAGCTCATTTCTCTTTCTCAGTTCCCTCAAATACACACCTTTTTAATTCCCAAATGTCCGGCAATTTATATGTGCTTATTCTCTGCAACTGATTCAGGAGATTGAAACTTTGAGGAACTTGTCTTGTGATGCTGGCTTTAGAGTTGCTAGCTACTGAGTCTGAAGACTTAGTCCATTTCCCTTGGCAGTTATTTTACTGCTTAGCAGAGTGGATGGCTCACATCTGTAGGAATGAATAAGGACTCCTGATCTCTGTAGGAACAAGGCTTTCACTCGAGGACAGCATCTCTGGTCATGCGGATTTTCAAGGAAAGATGAAACATATATTTTGAAATTAATTATTTTGTTGCTACTTTCAAAATCTTTCCTCCATGTGCAGATGTCTGGACAATACATTGTGTGACTGTCTCTATTCTCACTCTAAATAGTTCTGGATAGAAGGTTTAACTACGAAGGCTGTAGTTAAAGGCAGTAAATTCTAAATGCAGTATATAAAGAGTACTGTCAGCTGAGCACTGTGCATAACTTACACCTGAAGGTGAAGACAAAGAGAGAAACAGGTTAAGGGGTTATTCTTTACAAACCATGGGAAAGCACTATTTTCATTCTATCTATATAAAACTTGTGAAGTAGATTAAATAAAGGCCAGTGACACACAGAGGCATCCACAAACAACTATTTTTCTTGACAAAGACACAGAAAGACAGAGCAATGAGAGCATCATGCTGCAAGTCAAGAAGTGTGCTGTAAGGTCTGGGATCCTTTCTCCTGAATCATTAATTTAAATGATCAGAGGCTCAGTACCCTTTTCTCTCCAATGAGGTAAATACTCATGGACTTTTCTCCTGATAATTCTGTAAAAGTTTTTTTTAAGATTTATTTATGTATTTCATAGGGTTGCAGAAAGATGGGAAGAGACAGAGAGACAGAGCTCTTCCATCTACTGGTTAACTTCCCAAATGACTGCAAAGGCCAAGGTTGAGCCAGGTTGAAACCAGGATCTTCATCTGGGTCTCCCACATGGTGGTAGGGGTCCAAGTAGTTGGGACATTTTCTGCTGCTTTTCCCAGGCCACCAGTAGGAAGCTGGATTGGACATGAAACAGGACAGACACAAACCAACACCCACAAAGGATCCCGGTATCAAGGGCAGTGGCTTTACTCACATGCCACAGTGTTGTCCCCAATGCTTTAAAGATCTAATGAGACCCAATATGCGTGTTATTGTTGAAAAATAGATGATTTACTATCAGAATAGGAGTGAAAAAAAATTACCCCACAAGTAAAACTTAGTAAGATGATACAGAAAAAATATTTTACTCATTCTAGGAAATATAAAACCATACTCTCAACAGCAAGAATCCTGCTCAATTTTTAGTAACTGCCAATTCTATTATAAATATGAAGCAGAGGACATATGTGATCTACAGTTATACCTGTGGGCAATATGCTACTCCAAAATTTGAAGAATTTTTGAGTTGAAGATAATTAGAATACAGATGCAGATAGGTGCTCAGCCCTCCCTCTATTTGCCTGACAGCAGGACTTAGATTTCAAAGATAAAAGAGTTCTCTCCTCCTGGATCTACCAGGGCCAGCAGAGGCCAACCACATCAGACTCTCATGTGCCAGGAAATGACTCCAGAGGAATCTATGTAACCAACCTTTATTGAGTAGCATTTAATTTTCATGTATCTGCCTTCCCACAAAGTCTGTAGGTATTCAAATCTTTTTTCTTTGTCTGTCTTTTCACTTCTCCAAATGACTGTTCTCAGTGAAACTCAAAGATACCTTTTTTTTAAATTTTAATTTAGATATAAGGCCACGCAATAGAAGGCTTATTATTATTATTATTATTATTATTATTATTTTGGACAGGCAGAGTGGACAGTGAGAGAGAGATACAGAGAGAAAGGTCTTCCTTTGCCGTTGGTTCACCCTCCAATGGCCGCTGCGGCCGGCGCACTGCGGCCGGTGCACCGTACTGATCAGAAGGCAGGAGCCAGGTTGCTTCTCCTGGGGTGCAGGGCCCAAGCACTTGGGCCATCCTCCACTGCACTCCCTGGCCACAGCAGAGAGCTGGCCTGGAAGAGGGGCAACTGGGACAGAATCCGGCGCCCCGACCGGGACTAGAACCTGGTGTGCCGGCGCCACGAGGCTGAGGATTAGCCTAGTGAGCTGCGGCACCAGCCATCAAAGATACCTTTTTAAAATGATTTGAGGAACTGAGAGACAGAGGGCGAAATAGAGCTCCTACCTACTGGTTAACTACCCAAATGACTGCAATGTCTAGGGCTGGTATCCCACATGAATGGCAGCTCTCAACTATTACCTGCTGCCTTTGAGGGCTGGCATGAAGGAAGGTGGAATCTGGAGCTGGACCTGGAACTCAAATCCCGGCACTCCAATATGGGACACAAGCACCCTAACTAGTGTGTTAACCATGAGGGCAAATGCTTGCCCCTGAAATATACCTCTTTGGAATCAGTCATTCCCTGGTTATATATAAAATACCCAATTTAACAAATTTCTGTTCCTCTTTAGTTAATTGGTCAGATGCATCTAAGAGTCAATGGCAATTACCAGTTTTCCCGAAACACAGTAATGAAAAAGTCCAAGTTTTCATCAAACTGTAAGGATCTTGTCCACATATCACGTCCTGTCCCCATTTAAATGGGACTAATATAGCACACATGATAGGATTGTGCTTTCTTTTCTTAAACAGCACAGATAACATGGCTTGACAAGTTGAAAGTTTGTGCCAAACCCACATTTAGCCAGCCTACTGGTGCCATTTTTTCAACAGGTGTCCTCACTTCACGTCTCAATGACACATTTCGGTAACTGTCTCCAGATTTCAAACTTCCTCACTATGATTGTGTCTCTAATGGTGATTTGTTATCAGAATATCTGATGTTACAACTGTAATTGTTTTGGAGTGCCATGAACTACACCGGTACATGATGGCAAACTTAACTGATCAATGTTTTGCCTGCTTTGATTATTTCACCACCTGACTGTTCCCCCATTTCTTTTCTTCTCCTCAGGCCTCCCTATCCCCTGAAACAACATAGTGTTGAAATTATGCTAATTAATAACTCTGTAATATCCTCTCATGTTTCAAATGAAAGGAAGGGTATAGTGTTTCTCATTTTAAATGAAAAAAAAAATATAAATGATTCAGCTCAGTGAGGAATGGATGCCAAAAGCCGAAATAGCCTGAAAACTAGACCTCTCACACTGAGCAGAAAAAACTGTGAATCCGAAGGAAAAGATCTTGAAGGAAATGAAAAGTGCTACTTTGGTGAACACTATAGATAAGAAACATATTGCTCATATGGAGAAATATTTGGTGGCCTGGATAGATCAAAGCAGCCACAGCATCCCATTAAGGGAAAGCCTAGTTCACAGCAAGATCCTAATTATTCAATTCTGTGATGGCTGACAGAGGTGAAAGGAAGTTAAAGAAAGTTTGCTTCATACGATTTAAGGAACGAAGCCATTTCTACAACACAAAAGTGCAAGGACAGGGAACAAATGCTGATGGAGAAGCTGCAGCCAGATATTCTGAAGGTCTAGCTGGGGTCATAGATAAAGTTGGCTATGCCAACAGATTTTCAATGTAGATAGAACATGTAGGACTTTGGGTTTTTTTTAATTAATTTATTTATTTGAAAACCAGAGTTACACAGGGAGAGAAGGAGAGGCAGAGAGAGAGAGAGAGAGAGAGAGAGAGAGAGAGAGAGAAAGTCTTCCATCCACTGGTCTACTCCCCAAATGCCTGCAATGGCTGGAGCTGCACCTATCTGAAGCCAGGAGCCAAGAGCTTCCTCTGGGTCTCCCATGTGGGTGCAAAGGCCCAAGGAATTAGATGGGGTCCATCTTCTGCATTCCCAGGCCATAGCAGAGAGCTGGATTGGAAGTGGTGCAGCCTGCACACATTTGGGATGCGGCTACACATCCCGCCCCTATGTAGGACTTTTGTCTCTAGGGAGAAGTTAGTGCCTGGCTTCAAAGCTTTAAACAAAATGGGGTTGATTTTCATTAGGTATTAATAAAATGGACAACTTTGAGACCAATGTTCATCTGTCATAGTGAAAATTCTAGGGCCCTTGAGAATTCTACTAAATCCAATTAGCCTGTGCTGTGTAAATGGTACAAATCCTGGATAACAACAAGTCTGTTTTTAATATGGATTACTGAATATTTTAAACCATCTGTTGAAATCAGTGTCCAGAAAAAAAGATTCTTTTTTTTTTTTTTTTTGACAGGCAGAGTGGACAGTGAGAGAGAGAGAGACAGAGAGAAAGGTCTTCCTTTGCCATTGGTTCACCCTCCAATGGCCGCCGTGGCCGGCATGGTGCGGCCAGCGCACCGCGCTGATCCGATGGCAGGAGCCAGGTACTTATCCTGGTCTCCCATGGGGTGCAGGGCCCAAGCACTTGGGCCATCCTCCACTGCACTCCCGGGCCACAGCAGAGAGCTGACTTGGAAGAGGGGCAACCGGGACAGAATCCGGCGCCCCGACCGGGACTAGAACCCGGTGTGCCGGCACCGCAAAAGGAGGATTAGCCTAGTGAGCCGCGGCGCCGGCCTAAAAAAGATTCTTTTCAAAATACTTCTGCTCATTGACCATGTAGTTGGTTACTCAAGTGCTCTGATGGAGATGTTCCATGCAACTCAAGTTGTTTTTGTTTCACCTAACACAACCTCTATTCTGCAGCCTATGGATTAAGGGATAATAGTGACTTTCAAGTCTTATTGTAGAAATAACATTTCACAAGGCTAGTGCTGCCATAAATAGTGAACTTCCCATGGATTTGGGCAAAGTAAACTGAAAATGGTCTAGAAAAGATTCACTATTTCAGAAATCATTAAGAAGATTTATGATTCATGGAGGTCAAAATATCAACATTAACAGGAGTCTGGTAGAAACTATTTTCAATCTTCATGGATAACTTTGATGAGTCAAGACTTCAGTGGAGGAAGCGATAGCAGATGTGGAAGATGCAAAAGAACAAGATTTAGAAGTGGAGTTTAAGATGGGACTTAATTGCAGTAATATCATGCTTAATATTAAATGGTTGAAGAGTTGCCTCTCACAACTGAGTAAAGACAGTTTCCTGTGATGGAATCTCTTCCTTGTGAATGTTCTGGAAACACTGTTAAATGACAATGGAAGATTTAGAATATTATATAAACTTGCTTGATAAAGCAGCAGCAGGGATTAAGAGGATCAGCTCCAATTTTGAAAGAAATTCTACCATGGAGAAAATAGCATTCCATACTACAGAAGTCTTTCCTGAAAAGAAGAGTCAATCGATACAACCAATTTCACTGTTGTGTTATTTAACAAATTGAAACAGCCACCCCAACCTTCAGCAACAACCACCCTGATTAGTCAGCAGCCATCAACATTGCAGCAATGTCTTCCACCAGCCAAAACATAATTTTTTGCTGAAGGCTCAGATGATGGTAAGAATTTTGAAGCAATAAAGCATATTTATTTAACCTACTTACATCTTTCCTTAGATATAATACTATTGCATACATTATAGACTATAGTTTAGTATAAACATAACTTTTGTGTGCACGGGGGAACCAAAAATTCATGTGACTCACTTATTGCAACACTCACTTTATTGTGGTGCTCTGGAACCTGTTCTGTATATTTCTGAGGTAGGCCTGCCCTCACAAACAAGTACCTGCTAGGATTATAAAATTGACACAACAGATTGTGGCACAGTAAATAAACCCAAGCATCAACCTTTTCCCTTACTATTAAGACTAGTTAGCATTCTTTGCTCCATAAGCTGCCAACCATTGTTCTTGGCTTTCCTGCTTTTAATTAGCTGTCTCCTCTGTTTCCTATATTTGAATACTCTATACATTGTATTTGTATCATGCACAGGCTCTTGACTTTCTGTAAAGTTTTAGGACGTGTCAATAAGATCCTCCCGTGACTGTCCGTGTACTCCAGTAAGGTAGCTGGTGACCATGGATCCAGACCACCTAGCTGGATGCCTGGAGGGGATCTGATGACAATGGCATGAAGAGTCAAGGAGCCATGTACACGTAATTCAGCAAATGTGTTAATAACATATTCTGTTTATGTGTTGAATTTACACTGTGGCAGGACATTCACTTATTAATTAGTTGATTAAAGCTCCCCCTATCCAGGACACCTTACACCTTCCTTGTTTATTCTAACTCCCAATGCCTAAAGCATTTAAGCTTGTGACCTTGGTTGTTCACCATGAAAATATTTTCATTTATGTGGAAACAAGTTTCCAATCTAGAACATATTTTCCTCTTCTTAACAAAAGATCAAACTGCCTAGGGAATGTTATTTATTTATTCAGCCCTGGGATGCTTTGTTTCATCTAAGTGCTATGCAGAAGTCTAATATAAAAAAATACATAAATGCTCAGCAGTTTGCATCGATATCAGCCTGGGAGTAGGTTCAGATTTCTCAAGATTGATTTCTTTTCCACTGCAGATTAGGACATTCTCATTGTAACTTGTGTTTTTTTTAAAATCAAGTTCAAAGACTCTGGTCCCTTTTATCCTCATAACCTAGGAAATTGGTCTGGAGTTGGGCCTGACACATGGGGGTCAGAAAATCCAAAATCTTTGCATGTCTTACTGCAAAGGTACTAGCCATGTGAAAATGCAGCATGCATTACAATCTACATAAAAGGTGCATCCTTCAGTTCATCCAAACAGAAAATCATCTATGAAATACTGGAGTTAGACTATGCTATAGAGTAAGCAAATGGTCGTAACAGTTGTGGAATGTTTTATCCCACAGCTGAGAATATACATTCT